GGGGGGGGGTGGGGGTTAAGGGGGGGCTCAGCCTCGAGGTTTTCCTTCCGGGTCTACCCGGTGCCGCCCCCCCCCCTCTCCCCCCTCGACCTGTTTACCTCACACACATCACACTTTGCACTGTACATTTATTATTATTATTATTATTTTTTAACTCGTGTTACCTCCAGACAGACGTACGGACGCCTGCCAACGCGAGCTTTAATGAAACCTCCTGGCACTCGTTAAAGGAAAAAAAAAACACAAAACAACAAAGCAAAACAAAAAGATAAAAAAACAGAAAAAAAAGTTGGAAATCGGGAGATATTTTATTCATTAGATCCTTTTTCTTCCCCCCTCCCCTCCTCTATTTTGAGAACTACACTTACTCTATGGGATTTTCAGAGGTTGTCGTTTGATTGTTTTTGTTGTAAATAGCTTCTATTTTATTCTCTAAAAAGAAAAGAAGAAGAAGAAGAAAAAAAAGAATCAAACTTTTAACATGCAAATGATATATATGGACGTTGTCAGGGAAGCAGGAGCTGGGGAACCCATCACCTCCTTTTTCTTCTCCTCCCAGGTGTACCCGAGGCTCTGGGAAGTGCTGTGAGCTCAGGGCTGCAGTGGCACTGGGGACCATGGAGGGCGCAGTGTGCGCTGCACGCCTCCAGCTCCGGGCTTTAGTTCTCAGTGCAGAAAAGCAGTGCTCAGGGACGGGATGGGTGCAGCAGGGGGGTCCTGCAGCAGCCCCCAGGGACAGGCAGTGCTCAGGGGTGCTCTGGCTGCTAACATGTGCCATGCATCCCCGTGTTCCCTCGTCCCCAGCTCTCTCCTACATTGTCAGGTGGTTTTTCTTTCTGTGCTTGATTTCTTTTTCTCCCCTCCCCTGTAAGGCGATACTACTGTGCAGATCCAGTTTGGGCACATTTTCCCCCCTCCCCAGCACCCAGGGCGAGGTGACACCCGATCTGCTATTCACGCTTCCAGCAGCAAACTGGTTCTGTTGGTGATGGGACGGGCGTTTTGTTTGCGTGGTGCCGGGAGGAATCAGGAAAATTGGGTGGTGTCAGCACTGCTGCAGCTCCAGGGACAAAATCTGTTCCCTGCTGCTCCCTGTGCCCTGGGCATCGCTTCTGCCACAGCAGCACCCTCACCCACGCAGTTTAGGGGGGGGCCAGGAGGGATCTCAGCATCCCTCCCAGTCCGGAGGCATCTCTTGTGCTCCCCAAACCACTGTTTTAAAGCCAAAAGCTCAGAGGCGGTGCCCTCATTCGATGTGGAAGGGTGCAAGGCGCTGCCCGGCTGGGCTCTGTGCATGATGCAATTCTGGGTGACGTTCAGGTCACGTCGGTGCACGATGCCATGGCAGATTTCCCTCCGGATCGGCTTTGTGCACAGCGTGGTTCGGGATGCTGTCGCAGATCTGTGCTGTTCCGAACGGCACCGCGGCAAACGCTGCTCCTGTTTGTGCACGATGCCGTTCCCACAGCGATCCCCACACCCCAGCGCTGCCGTTTACCCTGCTTTACCCACGCGGGTTGCAGCGTTCCTTTCCCTCGTGGCCACTTCCCAGCAGTTCCTCTCCTCCCCCCCACCCCCCCCATCCCCCCATTGCCCCCCCATGCACATCTGCGTGACACACAATCGCGTCCCGATGCCGACCCCCTTCCCTCCACCCCCCCCTCCCCGCGGTGTCTCAATTCCTCAGGTTCTGATGGGAGCACAGGGTTCGCCCCCAACCCTGCATGGACCCCCCTTACCCCCCCTTCCGGCAGCACGGGTGTCTCCA